TATAAAAATGTTCAAAGACAAACAGGCTACAAATCTCCGATGTTTATATACAAATGCCAGGAGTATGGGAAACAAAGAAGAAGAACTGGAAATTTTAGTTCAGGAGGGCAAATATGACTTGATAGAAATAACTGAAACTTGGAGGAATGACTCCAATATAGCAACTAAAAGATATAAATTGTTCAAAAAGAATGGAGGGAATAGAAAGGGAGATTGAGTATATCCCAAAAATAAGCATTCCTGCACAGAAAAACATGAGGAGAAGACTGGATATCCCACTGAGAGCATCTGGATCAATGTCGTTGGGGCAAAAAACAAAAGGAGCACAATAGTTGGAGTTTGCTAATGACCTCTCAATCCAGGAGAGGAAGCAGAAAAACAAATCTGTTGGGAGGGAAATTCTACCAAGTCTGGCCCTTCCAAGAAATTCCTGGTTTGTGTGGCTGATCATTTTCCTCTGCAAAAGGCGGAGAAAGAATCCAGAGGATTTGCTATCTGTGATGCAACTCTGTCTTTGAGACCTTTATTTTTTTTCTGGTTCCTCACAAAGACACAAGCTGCTTCAGAGGATCAGAGGCCAGAGGATCGCTTGAAGGCTGCCTGCAGAAACATCCGATCAACTAGCCCCGAGTTCTGACAGGATGAAAAGGCTTCCAGCAGTTCAAGGGACTGTTTTACTATATAAACAGCTCTCAGACAGCTGAAAATCCGTGGAAGCAACAAGTCAAACCTCTGGCTTGCATCCACGCTCCGGACACCCTTAAACCTTGTTCTCTGGACCCTTGGCTTTGTACTCTCACCCTGGACTACGTTGTGTGAGTTGGCTTTGGGATTTGGATATTGGCTTTGCATTCCCTGAATTCCTGACATAGGACTGGCTTATCAGACTCTGCTGTTGTAACCCCCGAGAATGTGACAGGCCCTGTTTTAGCTTTAGCAATTGGTGTGTTTTGTTTTTAAAGTTTATTCAAAGACTGAGTGGAAAAAAAGGATCTGTTAAAACTACCATCATAAGGTCTTCAGATTTTTAAATGCTGTTCCTTTTGATGGTTTGTACTGGACACAACCTGTTCTGAATATGATTAAAGCAGATTGGAAGATAAATACTTTTATGACATGCTGGCCAAAATGCTGTCGATGATTTATACTCGCGTAAGAGAAACGGCAGAAGTTGCTACAGAAAACTGCTGCTAATGAATGAGGTGCTCTTTGCATTCCTGGGCAAATACCCCCAGCCCCTGACCATCAGCCAGCCATGGTTGGCTGCCAACTTTTGCATAATTCACCAGAGGCAAGGATAAATTGCCAACAGATTTCTGTCTGTCTGCTCTCCAGCTGCCCTCCCATACTCCCTCCCCAGTGGGACCTAACTTCTTTGCAGAACAGTAAAAAAAAAAATTTAAACAAAATTACGTCTGTCTTCACTCCCAGTATGAGTGTTTAACCATTTTAAAATAGGTATCTTAAAATGAACTCACCATTATTACATCTGCAACATGAAAACCTTACATATAAAATCCAGTAAACTGAGAAGGAAGTGTGCATACGGAATGTAGGGAAGGGGGGCAGGCATGTGCTAAAACAGATGAAAATGCTTTTGCACTGTGTGTCATGAAGTCTTACAGGAGAAATTCCCCAAAAGCTGGCTGCAAAGAACAGAGAAGGGTGGGAGTTCCCTCTTTGTGGAACTCCATCACCCCCCAGCTCCCGTGTTAGCATTCTAACCAACTGTGCACAAACTGGAGGATCCAGGGATGACTGCCTTTAAAGGCTGCAGCTGTAAATCTTTCGCCCCATTTCCTCATGTGTTTGATTTTTTTTTCAATTTTTAGTTTCATTTTTTTGGCTTTGAAGGAGCAAACTCTTTCCAATATCATCTGGAAGTGCAGTTTCAAAAGCGAGGACCAAGTCAAGTCAAGCCAACAATATGCTTTCCTAATCTTTTCCACATTCGTGAATTATGAGTCTGCTTTTCCAGCCTTTGGCAGAGAGCTGTTGTGACGAGGGCTCTAAGAGTGCTCCCGGGGTCCTATGCCCCTCCACACCAGAGGTATCCCCTTCACATTTTACTGGACTTCAGGGATGTAACTCACTTGGGTGAGAGAAATTTAGAAGGGCAGGCTTTGCAAGGCTAGGCCCCTGAGCTGGACAGAAGGTCAATTGGTTCATCTAAGAACAGCGTGCTGTCAAGTCCATTCTGGCTTATGGCAACCTTTTGGAGGGTTTTCCAGATAGGGAAGAGACAGAAGTGGTTCCCCTTTTCCTTCTTCCAGGAGCACCCTGAGACTGGGCAGCTTGCCCAAGGCCACCTAGGCTGGCTCTACTCACCAGAGTCACAGTGGGAAATTGAACTCTCAACCTTTGGTTCCACAGCTAGAGACCTAAACCACTGAGCTATCCGGCCAGCTCATCATCATAATGTGCTGTCAAGTCAACTTTATCCATTGTTTTCCAGGTAGAGACCACTCAGAAGTGGTTCCCCATTTCCTTCTTCTGGAATACTGTGCAGCAGGCCCAGGGCCACGCAGGCTGGCTCTTCTCCTAGGAGGCCCAGTGAGGAACTGAACTTCCAACCCCTGGCTCTGCCGCTATAGGTACCTAACTCACCGAGCTATTTAGCCAGCTATTAATATATAGAGAGGGAAAATATTAGTCACCACCCACAAGCCCAAATTCATATAAAATTCTATATGCTAATATATACGCAAAATTATAAATCATATTTATAATCAAAGCAATTACAATACATCACTAGATGGGGATGATGGTGACCGGGAGTGTCTGCTGTCCAGACGCTTGTCACTGAGGCTAATGGGGAGCTTCCAGGTCCCAACAAGGGCCTGACTTCCGTGGGTTTTTTTTTTTAAAAAAGCTTTTGAAGCAGCCTTTGGCTGAACATCCTTTCAAACAGTGAGTGCCTTAAGGGGGAATTGTGCTCTGGTCGCCCTTGGAAGAGAGCACGGCCGAATAAGGCGCATCACCTCCCTCCACAAGACAGCTAGAAGCCAGACAGCTGAAAGGCTGAATGTCACAAAACAACACAGCTTTGCCCATATTCATCTCTGGACCTGCTCTTGTGTCCCGTCTGTAGTGGATGATGACACGGGGGTGGTTGCATCCTCATAGCTGCCCCCCCTTTTTTTGTTTGCCTCTGAACGGTGTTCTGAACGGGCTTTGACTGAAGGAGCCTCAGCCAGAGGAAGAGTGGGAGAAGATGATTGATGGTGCCAACTGAACCACGCTATCCTGCAGGAATGTCCTGAGGGGGATAGTCTAAACCCACATTGTCCAGGCAGAGGTTGTTCTGAGGTGTGGAAATGAGTGCTTGACTCTGGATCAAGAAACGACAGCCTGAGTTTATCATCTGTTTCTTCGCTATATCACCCTCCCTGATAAAAGGGGAAGTCCTAAATGGTAAAGCATATATTTGGCATGAAGGAAGAGGACCGGCGTGAGGCAAGGAACTCTGGCTCTGGCCACATATAGTTGTGCAACTCAGGATTTAGATATGTGTATATATATAGAAGAATGTCTGAGATGGATTGTCTGCCTAATAGAGCCTTGGAAGCAATTCTGTCCAGCGTTTGTTAGCCAGTGGGTGTTTGACGGGGTGAACTGCCAGATGGAAGATGAACTGGCAGACACGCCGAGGCTTATTCTGCTTCTCCTGTTGGTCTGCGAGCAGGAGCCCTGTTTTACTTTATTCTGCTCTCATTACTTTGAAGTCTACTAAGTGACTTCCAGATGGTCTAGCCAGAGTCTCGTCCTTGAAGAGGGAGACGCTCTTCCGCCTTCCTCCATTTGGCCAGGTGTGTTGTTTTCATTCTCCGCAGGTCTCGCCTCCCCTCTTTGGGTTTAAGATTTAGCCCTTGAGAGGTGTGCAGAAAACCCGTCCTCCATCTCAGCCACTGACTAGGGGGTTGATGTCCATGGGGTGGGCGGGTTTGGTGCCGTGTTCCCTCATTTGCTGGCACCTCTCTGGAGGGGCAACTGACAGGTCTGATATGTACCAGGTCTGACCAAAGTCCATGTGGTCCCTTCAGACTGAAAGCAAAGAGTGCTTTCTTCTAAAACTAACCAAATTCAAACTCTGACACTGACGATAAGTAGGTTTAAGCAGTGCAATATGTCCCCCCCCCCCAGTTTTCAAATGTGTGCAGTTTTGAACAGGTCCATCCGCTGCTTTCTTTCAACAGAAGAATTCTGGAATGTACATTATGGACTGCAATTCTTGTGGCAGGGACAGAAATCAGAGTGCTCACACATTCCTGACTGGCAAAACAATACCTTCCCCGCTGTATGTCACTCTGAATTCCTATCATGTCTCAGCATTTTGGATCCTATTCGAAGAGCTTACAATACTGCCAATGATAAGCTAGGTCATATGGCACGTCCTTGTGACTTTCTCTTTACTAAGAAATCTGAACAAAGCCGCTCCAGAGGAACGTAAGAGCATAAGACGAGCCCTGCTGGGTCAGGCCAAGGGCCCCTCTGGTCCAGCCTCCTGTATCTCCCAGGGGCCCCACCAGATGCCTCTGGGAGCCCACGAGAGACCTGCCTCCTCGTTCCCCCCTCCCCTGCATCTGGCATTTTGGAAGTCAAGAGAGAAAGCTGAAGAGGCATGTCGCACAGCTGGCCCTCCATTCCTTATCCAGAGTTGGTGATCATTGGGGTCTCTCCCAGCAGCCAGTTGTCCCCTAAAGAACATACTGGGGACAATGGTCTAAGGAAAATTTGTTATAAAAAGAGGTAAAGAAACAAAATGCTGGTAAAGTCTTAATAGATTTTCAGCTTTCTTGGCTTGTCTCCTTCGGCACCTTTAGCTGCACCATCAAAGCCTGGCTAAGGCACAATCTAATGTGATTAATGTACAATTTAGTAGGGAATTCACATTGGTAATTTGGTACAGGCACCATTAAGGAAGCCAATTCACTATTCATGTTCCATTTAATCATCCTTCAGCTTTCACTGCAATGCCTCTCTCCAGTTCTACTACTCACCTGATTGGCAAGGAAGGGTCTCCGGCATCCCACCAGTCTTTGGGCGGGCTTATATACATGCACCAGAGCTCCCAGCTGTATCCGTGGGCTGAATTTTCATAGCGCTGAACCTCAAAGGTGTCTTGCTTGATATTGTCAATGGAAGGAAGGATGACCCTTTTCCGGTTTTCCTGGATTCGTGAGAGAACAGGCTCAGCCCTGAAAGGGAAACGGAAAGCAAAACAGTGAACCTTAACGGGCATCAACCTAGCAACCCTGTTAAAGCCAAATGGCAACAGAGAAAGCTAAGCAAAAGAACAGCTTTCAGAGGAGCATGGTGCTACGTCCTGACAATTTAGAGTGGCACAGGCAAGCTCTGCAGGTTCAGCGGGCTCAGCCACCCGCCATAAAAAGAAAAATACCCCAAATCTCCCTGCTATGTCCAAAGAAGGCCTCGCACTAGAAGAAGAGATTCCTGGATTCTGGGAAGCAGAAGCTTCAAGCATCACAATGCTTTAACCAGCTTTTAATAATAATAATAATAATAATAATAATAATAATAATAATAATAATAATAGTAGTAGTAGTAGTAGTAGTAGTAGTAGTAGTAGTAGTAGTTGTTGTTGTTGTTATTCCAGTAGCCTAGTATTGGGTATGTTAACAGTTTCAGAAGAGGTAGTTGCATTGGTCTGCCCTAGTACATCAGTCAAAAACGAAGTGAAAATGAAAATGAAAATAACTCTTACGTCGGATGAAGTGGAGGTGTCCAACAAAGCTCACAGTAGAATATCACAGGATTTTAAAAAATATTAAATACATACATTCACATATACATTCTTATATTTTATGTCCTCCTTCCCTCCTACCCTCCCATTCCCATTCCCATTCCCATGGCAAAGTCGTATCAAAAATCTCATAAATGTTTTCAGGAAAAATTATAAGTATCATCAGAGTATATTACAATGACCAATAGTTTTTGTATACCTCAGGAAGTCCCTTATTATCATATAAACAATAAAAGGATGCCAGTCAGTTGCAAAAGAGTCAAAGTGTTTTATCCCTTTAACTATATGCAATTTGGTGGTTATTTTTTCTTGCAGTGCTCCCTGCTGTATACTCTTGCATACCCTGCTGCAATTGCAACTCCCTGCATGTTTCGTCTTGCTGCTGTCAAAAGATGGCCTATTAAAGTTTTGTATGAAATGGATTCATTTTTCCCCTGAAAAAAGAGTAAGAAGTGCCAATTCTGGAGATCTGTTAATCGACTGGTTTGTAATTTTATTTATTTCATTAAACATTTCTTCCCTACATTGGTCTACCTTTTCGCAATACCACCAAAGGTGTTGAAAAGACTCCTTATGCTTACAGTCTCTCCAACACATTGGTGACATTGCAGGGTTAATAATGTGCGAGAGCCAAAGTGGGGGTCAAATGCCATTTTTGGAGTGTTTTCAATGCTATCTCCCTGGCTGTGATAGAAACACCTTTGTATTGGAATTCTGTAAACATTTCTGACCATTTCTCCTATCGATTTTAATATTCCAATCATGTTCCCAAATCTCCCACAACCCCATTGATGACCCTTGATCTACCTTAATGAGCAACAAATAAAGTGTCGATACTGCTCCTTTATTTGTTTCAGCTAGGGAGAGGAGAAGATTTTCAAAGGGAGTGAGGCACCTTGTGGCCTGTTTCACAGTGTTGGCCTGTCTAATAAAATTACTTATTTGATACCAGGTTAGCCATGATATGCCCCACTCTGTGAAATGGTCCCTCCAAAAATCCCTAGAAAGAGGTTGTTGATCGGTATAAAACTCCATTAACCTAATAAGACCAATATTTTCAAAAACTCTGGAAGTTAAATACCTCATCACTTGTGAGAGACCTGGATGACAATATATTGACATTAAAGGGGAGATATCTGGTAGGAACTTTTCCTTTCTTTTCTTCCATAATTGCATTGCAGGATATAGAGTACTATGAGCATTTTGGAGCTGATGTTTCAAATCCTTTTTCACACAAAGTATTTTTCCTAGCTCAGATATACCCAGTACTCGTAATTCCATTTCTATTTGCAGCCAAGAGGTTTGGCCCGATCCTATGTTTAGCTGCATCATAATACCCCAACCTCCTTTAGTAATGGGACGGTAACGAAGAAATTTTGTTATCCTGGGGTTTTTCCTATTAAAGATAAATGTTTCAATTCCTTTCTGCCACATCTTGAAAGTGGCATCTTGAATTTTTAAAGGCAAGACGTAAAAAAAAGAGATATGTAAACTGGGGTAAAATCATAATCTTAACTGAGGCAATCCGATTTGATAGCGATATGTTATATTTTCCCCAGTTTTTCATTTCTAACTTGGATTGCTTCCAAATATCTACATAGTTGAGTTTGAGAAGCTTGGTAGAACTTTTAGCTATGAAGACACCTAAATATTTAAACCCTTTATTTGTGAATGGGACTTTCAACCTTTGTGATATTGAAATTTGCTCTTGGGGCAGGGTACAGTAGCGCCTTGACTTACGAACGCCTTGACCTATGAACATTTTGAGTTACGAACAGCTGCGTTTCCATGCTGTGAAGGGTCTCAGGGGGGTGTTTATATTTTGGTTTCCCCCATTTCTGGTGTGGGGGTTGGTTCCTTTTTGAAGTGTTTTTCCCATTCCTGATGGGTCTTGGGGAAATTATTTTTGGGTCCTCCCCATTTCCAATGGGTCTTGGGGGTTTGGTTGCTTTTTTGGGGGTTTTCCCCAATTTTCAATGTGTCTTGCATGCTTTTTGCTTTGTTCTCTTTGCATTTCTGATCTGCTCCGTTTGCTTTTGCAATGGTTCCTGCATGCTTCCCTTGCTTTTTCCTTAGATTTCCGTGCATTTCTGATCTGCTCCATTTGTTCTCTGTGCTTTTGCAATGGTTCATGCATGCTTCCCTTGTTTTTTGCTTCGCTCTCTTTGTATTTCTAATCTGCTCCATTTATTTTCTGTGCTTTTGCAATGGTTCTTGCATGCTTCCCTTGCAAATCAGAAAAGTTTTTGCAAGGGTCTGTGCTGGATTGGTTTAAAATGTGTTGGTGTAAAATGTGTGGGTTTAAAATGTGTTGGTTTAGCATGTGTTTTAGACTCCAAACTCTCTCCGTCCCCCATTGTCTTCTCTCTGTGTGTCTCCCTCCTTTCCTGCACTTTTTAAAACCTAAGTCATCTTAGGTTAAAAAAAGTTTCTCCCCCTAGTGGTAGAGGATGGACTTACAAGCCGTGCCTTGACATAAGAACAAAAACAGCCGGAATGGATTAATCAGGTTTCAGTGCATTCCTATGGGAAAGGCTGCTTTGACTTATAAACGTTTTGACTTACGAACACCATTTCATTACGGATTAAGCTTGTAAGTCAAGGCACCACTGTATATTGAAGCACATTAAATCAGTTTTCTTAAAATTCACTTTGAAGTCCTGCAGTCTCAAAAAAAAATTCTAATTCGTTTAGTATATGAGGGGTTACTTTTACAGGATTCCTCAGCATCAATATAACATCATCAGCATATAAGCTGATAACATGAGTTGAATTCTTAATAGGTATCCCCTGAATGTTCTCATTTGCCCTTATACGTGAGGCTAAAAATTCAATCACCATATTAAATAGGTGACAAAGGGCACCCTTCTTTAGTCCCTCTCCCAACATAAAATTCTTTACAGTCCTGATCATTTATCCGGAGCCTTGAACGTTTAGGAGAATAAACTGCATGTAATATTGGTGTAAATTTGGGGCCACATTTATAAAATTGCAAAGAGTTACGTAAAAATTTCCAACTAACACAATCAAAGGCCTTATAGAAATCTAAAGCCAGTAATGCTAGTGGAGATTGACTGATTTATTACTATAATTTATTACTCCAAATAATAAGGTCTGCAATATATATTTTTGGAATAAAGACAAATTGATCTTCATGTATCATTTGTCCAAGATACCCCTTAAGACGTTTTGCTAAAACTGAAGCAAATAGTTTCTAATCTGTGTCAAGAAGTGAAATTGACCTGTAAGACTCCATCGACATGGTGCCCTTTTTTGTGGCTTTAGTAATACGGCCTCTCTGGATTGGGTCCAAGGCTGTGGAAGTTCTGCCCTCTCCAGGACGGCCTTGAAAACCCTTTGCAGATGAGGTGCCCGAAAGTCACTAGAAGGAACCAATCTATCCACCAGGTCCTGAGACCTTGTTGGGTTTAATGTCTTTAATAGCTTCCATCACCTCTTCTAGAGTGATTTCATTTTCCAAATTTTTCCTACTTTCTTCATCTAGGGGTTTCACCTTTGGAAATACCTGGTACTGATTAACGTCATTAAGAGTTAGAAGAGTTAGAAGAGGGATCAGAATATAGGCATTCATAAAAGTCTGTAAAAGCTTCCAGAATCTTTTGCAGATCTAGACACCTTTCTCCATTCTTCTTTATTATACCAGTGATTCTAGTTTTTCTCTTCCTTGTTTGTAACCTATTTGCCAAGAGTTTTGACCCTTTTCTGTCAAATTCATAATACTTTTGTTGAAGGTGCAACATCCCTATCCTAGTTCTATTAATACATACGCTTTTAATTCTGCCCTTTTCCTATCTAGGATTAACCTCAGTTGTTGTGAACCACTCTCCTTATGTTTTACCATTAAGGAAGTTATCTCTCTAAATGGCTTAATTTTTCTTTTCTCCTTCTTTTCATGTTTTACAATTCTTTCATATAAATGCCATGGAGCTCCCCATCTGGTGATACTGGAGATTGAGGGATTATCTTCAAAGTAAAATTTTTAGCCTTTACGGATATTATGCTCATGTACTGGAGATGTTAACAATGATGAATTGAATCTCCATATTCTGTCTTCCCTTTGTTGTTTACATAGATTCAAAGTCACTTTTAAAGGTGCGAGATCTGTCACTCTGATCATTCCTATTTTAGTTTCAATTACGTTATGCAACAAACCTTTTGTAACAAAAAATTTATCTAACCGAGAAAAAACTCCATGTGCCGCAGAACTGTAGGTGTGGCTGTTATCTCCTGGATTAAATTTTTTACTAAACGTTACGTAAATCATATAAATAGCTGTGATATTTTAAAGTTATATTTTCTATGCCGATTATCCCTTTGTGAGATTAACCCCTGTGAAGGCTTTGAATTGTAACTCGAGGATCTAAACCCTGCATGTTCCAATTCGGGTCCCCTCCTATTATAACATCTTTATCA